TTTCCCTTTCCTAGCATCCTCCTGGACGAAGAGGGACACATCAAGATCACAGGTGCGTAAGTGACACGACACCCTCACAGCCCCGGCGAACGCAGGGACCCTCAGAGCCCAGCCCTCCCACTCCAGTCTGCTGACGCCCATCTCCGCTGGGGCTGGCTTGTTCATAGCTGTGGCTGCTCGCAGGGCGTGTTAGAGCAGTGGGGCTGCCCCCCCATGTCCGTCGTCTCCCTTCCCCCTCCACGCTGTCTGAGACCCCAGGCAGCCCCTGCCTACTGATAGGCCTCTGGAACCACTGCAGGTGTGTTCCGTAATGCCGGTGTTCAGCGCTTTCTCAGGGCAGACCTCCGAATCCCTCTCTGATGCATCCCTGCGCGGAGTCCTGCTCTCCCCATGCTGGACCATTGCAGTAGCTGTCTAGCCCTCCCTGTTGGCATCTCACACCCTGCAGCCTCCAGCAGGTTGTAGGGAACACGCCCCAGGCCCTGTGCGCCGCCCGCTGTGGATGTCCCTGTTGCTTCCGTAGCAATGGCCAAAAGCCGCATGTCAACAGCTCACACTCATGACGTTTTCCTGGAGGCCATAGCGCTCAGGGCTGACCTCAGGCTTCAGTGGACCTCTCCCCTCTGGAGCCCCTGGGGAGGACCACTTTCCTGCTGGCCCAGCTTCTGGAAGCAGCCTCTTCCTTGCGTCAGGGTCCCATCGCCTTTGCAGTGCCGCAGCGTGACATCAGAGCCCCTGGCCCCTCTGCCGCCTTCTTCCCCTACAGGCGTGTGCTGCCTTCAGCTCTCCCAGAGCATGCAGGACAGTTGCCCCGGAGGCCCTTCACTGAATCACACCTGCATGGTCCCTTTGCCATGTGGGGGGCCGTGCCAGGCCCTGGGGCTCAGAACACGGCGTTGTCCCGCCCACGGGTCCACCCACCCGCCTCCCTGAGCCAGCGTGCTCTCACTCTCTCCAGCCTGGCTGCGCTTCCTCCCGGAGCCCTCCCTGCTTCAGTACTGGTGGACGCCTGTGCCTTGGCAAGCTCCCCGAGCCCCCACCCTTCCCTGCAGCGCCTCCTGCCCAGTCACTTGTCCTTGTGCCCATCTCTCCAGCCCCCACTGCCCAGGGCAGTGCACCCTGCTCGGCAGACAGGGCATGAGGAAACCGATGACGTGTTAGATATTATCAGACATTCCGAATGCCCGTGCAAGTCTCCGAGGCCCCACTGTCTAGTCCTCTTTATGGTAGCATGGGAGCCTGCCTGTCTGTCCGCATGTACCTGCTGTGCACGCCTGGGCTCGGGCCCGTGGTGTTTGGTCAGCGCCCACCTATCTGGCAGCTGCTCGGGGCCCTGTGTATGATTCCATGTCCATCTGGGCGATGCTTCCTGCCCCTCCCTCACACACGGGGGCAGAAGAAAGTCACCCTTACCGAGCAGAGACAGGAAGCTCTTCGGCTGGTCCAGGCGGCTCCAAGGTGCCGCGTGGCATCGCGCAGAGACCAGGTCCTGCCAGCTCCTCGCAGGCTTTCTGTG